TGCATTCAAGTCTAAAGAAAACGCTGACCTATGGTATGAAAGTAAGGCTCTGCAGTAATCATCTCCGCCTATACACTATCTAATGCACTGTACAATACACCATTAAATTTCTACAGGAAACCATAGAGGCAACTTCCCTTTTTTCATACTGATTTAAATATCCAATTATATTTAGTATGGTTAGCAAATCAACCAACTTTCACACCATACCAAGTAACAGGTCAATTCCAGAAAGTAGAAAAACATAAAAGCAAGTGACTTTCAGTACTTTTATTTGGTAAAATACAAGAAATTTTTTCTATTGAAAAAAATAGAAATAGATAAAAAAAAAAAAAGATGTCTAAGACAAATATTCCAACTTCTCTAAGCAAGATTTAAATAACTGGATCTCCTATTTACCCCTACACTCTGTGTTTTAGTTTAGCATAGGGAAAAGGGTCTAGGAAAGAAGAGGAAATAAAAAAATAACCTAACATCAGTGTGAGTGTGTGTGTTAAGAAACATTAACTATCGGGGCACCTGGGTGGCTCAGTGGTTGAGCGTCTGCCTTTGGCTAAGGTCATGATCCTGGGGTCCTGGGATTGAGGCCCACATCTGGCTCCCTGCTCAGTGGGGAGTGTTATTCCTTCTCCCCCTCCCTCAGTTTGTGTCCTCTGTAAAGGAGCCTGCTTCTCCCTCTGCCTATTTCTCTGCCTCTCACTCTGTGTCTCTCATGAATAAATAAATAAAATCTTAAATAAAAATATTAACTATCAGCACTTAATGAATACTACTGGACCAAAAATTGTGCTAAGAGCTTTAAATACATTTTTAAATACATTATCTCACTTTAACACAGATAAAACAAGAACTCTGAGTAAAAAATTATCAATAAAAACAGAAAAGTGAAAAATAAAACAGAAAAGTGAGAAAATTATCTGAGACAGTAAATACAAAGAACATATGAATCAGATTTTCAAGCACTAAACAAAGTAAGAACACTACAAATTTAGGACTTTGACAATCATCTAGGAAAAGTTCCTCAACTTTACATAGGAAAATGCTATGTAATTTGAGTAATATCCAACAAAAACACACATATCTTACCCTTAAGCTAATTTCTTACAAAAATACATATTGAGGGATCCCTGGGTGGCGCAGCGGTTTGGCGCCTGCCTTTGGCCCAGGGCGCGATCCTGGAAACCCGGGATCGAATCCCACATCGGGCTTCCGGTGCATGGAGCCTGCTTCTCCCTCTGCCTGTGTCTCTGCCTCTCTCTCTCTCTGTGACTATCATAAATAAATTAAAAAATTAAAAAAAAAAATACATATTGGGGCACCTGGGTGGCTCAGTGGTTAAATCTGCCTTTGGCTCAGGGTGTGATCCTGGGGTCCAGGGATCAAGTCCCACATCAGGCTCCCTGCGGGGAGCCTGCTTCTCCCTCTGTCTCTAATGAATAAATAAATAAAATCTTAAAAAAAAAATACATATTGTATCTAAGCTATTTCTCCCCCCTTAAAAAGCAGCAGTAGAAAAGATATTATGTAGTCAGTATATAGCACACACTTCTCCCAGTGACTTCACTCAGAATTAAAAAGTCAATATTTAATAATGGACCAACCCTGAGAGTGAAACTTTAAATTTGAAAAGATTATTATAACATCAAACTAAACTAGAGATACACAATCAGTACCCTCAAATAAAGCACCAGAAGCTGCCCTTTATAATGGCAAATAGTGTTAGTGAAACACATTAAACACCAATTTAAAACTGTATTTACTATTGAAGTTTACCTTCATTTTGAAGCAAGGTATTAAGAGAAAATTTAAAAATAGTTTGATTCAGTTTTAACTGAACAACACTGTCCTTATAGCTAGGGACTCCAGGATCTTAAATTTTCTTTAATGGAAAAATTTCAAAACACCTTGCTAAGCAATAATCTTTTAAAAAGTCAGTCATGAGGCACCTAGGTGGCTCAGTCACCTAAATGTCTGCCTTCAGCTCAGGTCATGATCCCAGATCCTGAGATTGAGCCCCAGATCGGCCTCTCTGCTCAATGATGAGTAGGCTTCTCCCTATCCCTCTGCTGCTCACCCCACCCCGCTCCTGCTCATGCTCTCTCTCTCTCTCTCTCTAATAAATAAATAAAATCTTAAAAAAATAAATAAATAACCCCAGTCAGAAATGTATCCAACATTATCAAGTATCAAAACATCTAATTTGTACTATAACAAGCTTGATCTTAGGACATTAATTCAGCTTCTCAGCTTATCTCCATTTCCCATCCATTATCCCTTTCTCCAAATATCTTTCAAAAATCTTCTGTATGGAAATGTACATGTGATACAAGCACTCTCAAATTCTTGAGATGGAAAACCTGCAGCCCCAAATTACCAAGATCTGCTATCTTATGGGACTGACCAATAAAAGTAAAAGAAATGAAACAAGTCTCACCAACTTCCTCTACTACAAAAAAAAATAAGTACTGACTCAAAACATAAGCGGTATATATTCATTAATTCAACAGTGTCCTCCTCTTAGGTTAAAGGTACCGTGCTAGACACTGATAATACAACTATGAATAAGATATAGACACTATCCCTGCCTTCATGGAACCTTCAACCCAGTAAAACAGAATCCAAAAACAAGTAAACACACTGATATAATCCCATGCTGATCTTAATTCTATCAAGCTATTTTATTCTCATAGCTCATTTCACTGCATATTACTACCATCCTAAAGCCATGTCAGTTAATCCACTTAGTTCCTTCACCTACACTCATAATCATGCTTATGGAAAATAATTTTCTGAACAAATAATTTTGAATATATAACATAACCTTCTCAATAGAACTTTTAAATCACCTGCTATGCTATTCACAATAACCAAAGGTAGAAGAAATAGCCAAATGTCCATCAGAGGAGGAATGAATAAATTGGGGTATATATACAAGAATATTATTCAGCTATAGAAACAAATGAAGTAATGATGTATTCAACATGGATGAACCATGACATACTATGCTAAGTGAAAGAAGCCAAACACAAAAGCTCACATTTGTATGATCCTATTTACATGAAATATCCAGAATTGGTAAATCCACACAAATCCCAGATTAGGGATTGGGCAGCCAGGGAGTGGGAGGGGACAAGGGAGAATGAGGAACAACTACTTAAATAGGTTTGAGGTTTCCTTCTGGAGTGATGAAAATGTTTTGGAACTAGATAGAAGTGGTTGCACAACACCGTCAATGCACTAGATGCCACTGAATTGCTCATTTTAAGAAAATTGACTTTTTCTCAAATACAACTGCTCAAGTTTAAATTTGGGAGTTTCAGTTACAGGTCAAGTTTCAAACCTTACCTCCTTCGGAACCCATTTTAATACCAAAATGGTTTTGGGGGTTTTACGGCAAAAATCACTTCTTAAAATGCTGTTCTCATAGCTTTTAAATGTTATCCAATATTTTGGAATTCCGACTTACGTGAGGATACTCCTTTATTGATCATGAATTTAGTATATAACGTGCTATAATCAAGTCCGTGCTAAATAAAAGCCTACAGACATCAAATGGTTTTCTTTATAATAAAAATGCTCACTAAAACTCATTAAATCTCAATAATCTAAATACACAATTCAGCGCTACTCTCTGCACAAATGCCACTTTTCCCATTTCTACTTATAACAAAAACACCACCCTTCAGTCTGCCTGGGAGCGTAATTATTTGGGTTATGTGCCCCCCCCCCATTTCCCAAGCTCCTTGAGGGGCCTCAGTCCTTTTCTGCATGCAACACAACACTCCAAAGTACCTAACAGTATCTTCAACCTAATGCGAGCTCAAATAACGTCAGTGGAATTGAAATAAATGCAAGCAACAAATTAACTATTACAAATTACTATGTTTAAAAGACAACATACATAGACTAAAAATAGTCCACAAAGAAATCCTTTAGCTTCACGTTCAGATATATTTTTGAGTTATGTTTTCAGATGTTTTTCAACGCAAAGCTACAGAATTAGTCGTCCGAGGAACACCAATGTGATCATGAAGTAATTCACCTAATACCCAGAAAGAATAAATAGGGATTAGTCTTATCCATCTCTCTTTTGAAGTTCGCCTGCATATGCAATAGGGAAACTGAACTTAAACCAGAGTATTCCAAACCAGGTCATAGGAGAGCTCGAAGTCCCCAGCCATCCTGTTTTCTGTTTCCTGATTGGTCTGACCTCCAAGCATTATGGTGCCCAACCTTCGCAATTCACAATCTCCTTTAAAACATCTTCTGAGGTGAGCTTTTGATTAAAATAATAATTGACTTCCAGAACTTTCTAGAATTATGAACAAGGCACCTCACCTTTTTTTTTTTTTTAATCTTCCGAAACACTTTGCTCAAGAAAAGAAATCCAGTTTTCAGTCAAGTCCCGTTATAGTCACACTTCGAATTAAATGCGGGCCATAAACTTGCACAAGTGTTAGCGCGATGGCATTACTGTCCTAACAAAGTAGATATAAGCGGACATGTGCAAGAATCTTTGAGAACTCCTACACCTCAAGAATGTGCCCCCTTCAAATTAAAAAAAAAAAAAAAGTTTAAAACCTGGGTTAGATGACAAGCCAAGTGCGCTTATACTTCACAGGGACAGCTTTCTCCGCACCACGCTGGCAAAGCAGCGACAACCAGACGCCACTTGGGCAACGGCCCCGACCCTCGGCCTCCAAACCGCAGGCGTCCACTGGCACAGGCGTCCCGGAGTCGAGTTCCCCTAGTCCGCTCCCAGCCAAGCCCGCGGCTACTTCCACGTCGCTGCGACCCACACACCTCTTCAGCGATTTAAATCCGCTTTCACTCACCGCACGCGCACGCGCGCGCGCGCACACACACACACACACACACACACACACACACACACACGGCGTTACCAATCCCGGGACAACCCAGGGACCAGGGAAGGGGCGAGCTCGAGCCAACCAGGAGAGCAGGGGACGGTCCTCGGTCCCGCCCGGCCCGGCACCCACCTGCAGGCCGCGAGCCCGAGGGCGGCGGCGCCGGCGCCCCGTCCTCGCCAAAGACGAGTTTGAAGTCGAGCTCGTCGTGGGCGCCACAGTTTGCAGTAGTCATCGGCGTGGCCCGGGGTGCAGCGGCTCCTCCTCTGGCGGCGGCGGCGACGGAGGCGGCGGCAGCGGCGGCAGCAGCTCTTCAGCGCCGCTTCATGCCGGGCCGCGCGGGCCAGGAGGTCGCGGCTCCGCGGCGAAGTTTCCGGGCGAGACCGTGACACCGAGCGTTCCGTTCCAAACTCGAGAGCTGGACGCACGCCGAGCCGCACCAGGAGCCGCCGCCACAGCCTGTCGCTGGTGCCTAAGCCGCCACGGTCGCCTTAGCCGATAATCCCCGCCCCCCAACAGCCGCCGCCGCCGCCAGCGCGTTGCCGCGCCGTGTAGCACGCCTAGCCCCGCCCCCGGCCGCGCGCCCATCGGACCGCGCTGCCTATAGGCCACTGGTGCGCCTGCCAGCCCAATGGCTCCGCCCCCATCACCCGCCTACCGCGTGATTCCCTCTCGGGGAGAAGGAAGTCACGTGCAGACGGAGAGCCGGAGAAGCCCCACTACCTCTTGGGAGTTGTAGTTCGGCCGTTATTCTCTCCTCAACTTCTAAACCAGGGCCCTCTTATAGGGTTGAGTGCAATCCAATCCGCCCGCCAATCGAAGATCCCTTTCCTTATTGGGCAGAGCTCACGTCGAGTGGGGTTCTGGGTTCGGTGACGGGCGGCTGAAATGTTACTCTGATGGCTGGGCTGGAGGAATGTGTCGGGGCCGGAGAGGGTTACGTCAACGCCATTCACTCGCCCATCCAGCCACCCCGACCCTAATGGCGGAGTCTAGGGAAGGCAGGGCCGGGCCGAGGCTCCAGCTAGGTTGGGGCGGAGCTGGAGGAGACCTGCGCAGCGTTGAGTCCCGGGTCTCAGCTCAACAATGCAGACCCACCCCCTCGGGGCGGGGCCCGCGCCCGCAGGCTGCGCCTTTGTCTGCCCCTCCGAGCTGGCAGCTGCTCCCCGGAGGGCAGCCGGCGCATTCGAGGCCTCGGCAAAGCCCCACGGGCAAGGTCGATCCGTTGCTGGAAGTCGAAGCCGACTGAACCAGAAAGCCTGTCCTGAACTCGCACCACTCACGGGCTTATGATCTCAGCATCCCAGTGCACATCCGTGAAAGCAGGAGGGCCCGCTACCCAAACTGAGTGGTTGGTAATGGAGAGGAAGTGACACTGTATCTGAAAAACTGTTTTTCGCTCTCGGTCCCTCCCCAGCGGGCCTGTCTTCCCTTGAGACCCAGGACGCCTCCTCCTGGGCCTGGGGTGGAGGCCGGCCGTGCCAGGGGACGCTGAGCCTGGCTTGTTTACTTAGGGCTCCTTCAAGATGCAGCGTGGATTGGGAGCTGGGAGAAGTAGCAGTGACCTACTTCCCTAACTCCAGGTCCCACAGGGCATAGTATCTCTAGAAGCAAATTGCTGTAGGAACCCAGGGTACTAGGTCTCAGAGGCCTGGGTGCAGGTGTAAGAGCCCAGGCACTCACCCACAAAAAGGTGAAGAGGACAAAGTCCAATGCTTTGCAGAAAGGTCTCAATATATGGACTGATACTTGAGCTACCAGGGAGACGCAGGGAAGGCCTAACTAGGCCTTGGGTCAGGAGGACAGGTAATGTCCAGGGCAGATGAGATGTTTGTCTTGGATTGATTCAGCCCTGAAGTCAGAAAATCTTTCCTGCCCAGTGCTCTGTACACATACCTGGGCTGAACCTAGGGACGCAGAGATAAATTAGTCTCCCTTCAGGGGTTGGGGAGAGGAGGCCATCAAGCTATAATCACTACACAAAGAGATTAGGGATGTGCCAGGATCTACAGCAAGGTTCACAGTCCCTTGGGGTTACAGGGCCTCCACACGACTAAGTAGGAATTGGAAAGATGGCCAAGAGGTGAGGAAGATGATTCCAGGCAGCAAACAGATTTCCAAAAACTTAAAAAGTACCCGCAGTGAGCAGAAGCCAAAGGTAAGGCCAGATGAGTGGGCAGAGTACCATAGGCCACTGCAAAGTATCTAGACTTTTTATCTGAGGGCAGTAGGGAGCCATGGAAGGATTTAGAGCTAGGAATTTACATATTTAGAATTCTGGGAGAGGAAGAGATGAGGAACAGAAGAAAATAACAGTCAAAGAGATGGAGCACATGGTATTGTGTGGGTGAAACATCCTAATGAACAATTTCAGGATGTGTTGTCATCCCCCTGCTAAGTCCCCCCACCCCCACACCCCCACCATACTTCCCAGGTTACCATCTGAATTGAGAAAATAGATCTTTATCTAGCCCTTCTGCCCTCCAAACTAGGGGCTCAACTAGGCAGCCTAGGGGGACTGCAAGAGGGAGACCCTGAACCTGTCAGCCACACCACTGGGAAGGAACCACACAGGAGCTGGAGATGGCTTGAAAAATTCACCTGTTCACCAAATGCAACCGTGTGTGTGTGTGTGTGTGTGTGTGCGCGCGCGCGCGCAATCCATCTGTGTTCCCAGCCAATGTGCACCTGGAGAACACTTAGAAGGGGTTAGGTCTTAGGAAGATTTCTGGTCTGGAGGAAACTGAGAACTCGAACCTGGATTGATCAGAGCTGGAGCAGCAGTGGGCCCTGACCAGGGGAAGAGTGTTACCACTTTCATAAGAAAGGCGGCCAGGGCTAAGAGCTCTGCAGGCTGGTACTGAGGCCTGCCCCACTCACACATGAACTCTCTCCAACCCTTTTCCTCAGCCAGGACCTCCCTTATCAGCTCTTCCTCAGGCCAGCTCGAAAGCACTTTTAGATGGATGGCAGGGGATGGCCATCTGACCTGCCTCCAGCCTTTGAGAGCCCTGTGAAACCAGGAGGCCAAGGGACCACTACAGTAGATAGGACTCCAGACTAGTGGACAGGACTGTGTGGGTCCCTGTACACCCTGTCTTCCTCCTGTGTGAATGTGAGTCAGGCCTGAGATTTGGGGAAAGCCATTACTTTCATCAGCTGCCACAGGCCTGGCTCTGAGCCCCCAATGTTAAAGACTCTCCTGTGGTGTCTGAGCCATGGGATGGTACAGCTTGGCCTGGCACAGCCCAGCGCAGCCCCCTTTTGTTCATTAGGGGAAACGGGAACCTTAGAGGAAAGTCAGAGTTTAGAAAAGTTCTTTCCATGCCACATATCCCATTCAACGAGCTTGTTGGATTCTTTTTTTGTGGCCGCTCCCCACTCCCAAGCCAAGGAGGGACTATAGCAGACACAAGAACTGCCCTTGAGCAGCTCCCAATCTGGGCAGAGGTAATACTGGCCAACTACAATTGAAGAGAGTTGGTTGCTGAAGTCAGCACAGGGTGCTGAGAAGACAGGGTCAGCACTTTGTTCTCGGATACTAGGCTAAGGGGTTTGGACTTGATCCAGAGGGCAGTGGAGAGCCATGGAAGAGTCTTGAGCAGGAACCAGGGATTCCCCACTCTTCTGTGCACAAAGTCCAGTCTTCTTGCTGTGGCCTTTGGAAGATGTGCCATCCTTTCCAGCTTTGCTTGTCCCTACCTCTCAGGCTCAAAACCATGTGTCCCCAAAATGTGATGAGCTAATAAGTCCTCAGTGTAGGTGGCTAGAATGGATGAATAAGTGTCATGGACACTAGCCCAGAGAGGGGTTTGGGCATCAGAGTGGCCTGAGTTTAGGTGGGCATGCTGAGAACAATGTGTAGAGCTTTCAGATCTGACTGGGCCCTCCCAGTTGGTCCCAGGTCTTAGGCAGGTCACTCTGAGACCAGGGCAGGCATCGCTGAGGTATGCTAAAGTGAGACCATTTGAGAGCCAGCATACCCAGCCAGGATCTTTGCCAGGTATCCTCAGTCGTGGAACATACACAAGCCCCTCCTCACCTGCTCCCCTGTGAATGACACTCTCCCTGGTGCTTTTCCTGGGCCCTCTAAGTTTTCATACTCCAGCCTCCCATCTTAACAGCTGACCTCCACCCCTGCCTCTCCTTTCTCATAGCCCAGAAATAAACCGACCCCATCAGAGAAGGGGCTTCCCCAGGAACAGTACATTGGTGGGAAAGAGGCCTGAGGGTACCACCCAACCCTACAGAAGAAGTGGATCTTAAGACTGGTATTTGACCCACCACAGGGTCCTTCCACAGCCCCTGACGAGCTTAGGATGCCTGGGGGTCTACTGGGGCCTCGGTGTCCACCCTGTTCCAGTTGGGGTATGAGGAAAGACAGAGGGAGCATTTTAACTGAAACGGTTTTTTGGTGAGAAAAATCAGAAACTGTGCCTAAAGCTTGATGGCTGAGACTACCAAGTCTCAGCCTGTCTCCTGAGCAGAGCTCCTTCTCTTGGAGCATTAGTCTGGGAAGCTAGGGTAGCCCCAGCATGGAGTGACCCTGTTAGCCACACAGTGTGCCCTATCACAGGCCTATTTATCCTCCAGCCTACCTCATGCAAGCAGAGAGCAGATCTCCCTCTCAGAGGAGGGCCCTCAGGCCCAAAGAGAACTAGAAGTGACTTGCCCAATGTCGGTCAGCAATGGGCTTCGGGAGGCAGCTGGTAGTGTGGTATCCTTATCTGCATACAGAACAAGTGTGCAGGGAGGGGCAACTCCAGGACTGAGAGGCCTCACCTGCCTGAACTTTGACTCAGGCCCACAGGGCCAGGGGCTGCCAAATGGCCGTGAGGCCAGACCCTAGGCCTAAGGGATAATCGGCCTTGCCCTAGAGGGGAATGCCCCTCCCCACAGAACTTGGAAAAGGGGAGGAGAAGTAGTGTGTTTACAGTGGAGGAAGCGGGGGTGGTGCAGGGCAGGGACCTTTGGTCAGAACGCCCCTCCCAGTAAGAGGGGGAGGCCCCAGGAGATGTGGTAGCCGTTTGTTTGCTTCTCACTGCCAAGAGGAAATTAAAGAGAATCTGCCACTTCCTTCCGGCTCAAGGGATAGTGGGGGCTGGTGGCAGGCAGTGGAGTGGGTGGGCAATTGTCAGGGCCCCAAGCTGCTGGCATCAGCAACACACAGGCTCAATGTTACCCATCTGGAGCAGACACTTCATCAGGTCTGAGCTCCAGCCAGCTGGGGGTCAAGCCCAGGAACCACCCCCCCCTCACCTGAGATGGTCCCTTACTGGAGCACCAGATACCCTAATTGTTCCCCAGATTCTATAATACCTCTCATCATGAAAGTCAACTGATAGGCAGTACCTCAGGTTTGCCATCAGTAGAATGGGCTTCTTGGGCCTTCCTGGCTCAGCCCACGTCCCGCGAGCGTTAAAGTGATACCTCATCCCCCACTTCCACCCAGAGGAAGGATGGGTAGGGGTATTTTTAGGAAGCTCCAGCTGTGCATAAAGGGTGGGAGTAAAAAAAAATATGCCAGGCCATGAGTATGTGTGTGAAGATGCCCAGGGCTAGAGCAGCCAGCCATGGGTAAGGGTGGGGGTATCTTTATTGCACTGTAGCAATGTCAGGTTGAGGGGGTGCCACATGAAAAGCTCCCGTTTTCAAAGAAAATACTGAGGCACTGGGAACTTGGCCTTGCTCCTCAAACCCACCAAAGGAGGTATACACCTTAGGCACCCTTTAGCCAGTGCTGCAGGCTGATGGCCCAGGTAAGGACCTCCTAACTCCTGTCAGGAACAGAGAATTGTCCAGTGGCATCTGGTTCATACCCACAGACATCTTATGGCCAGGCTTCTGAAGTGAGTGACCAAGATAGGGACAATGGTCACCAGCCTTCCAGAGGGCTCTCTTCACCACTTCCCAAGGCCACAAAGAGCTTCTTGCACAGCTCCCCAGGCACTGCTTGCTCCTGAGCTCCAGGACCCCCAGGGTCTTGGTCAGGGGCCTCCCGCTTGCGCTTGTGCCAGGAGGGGTTCTCTTCACCCAGCCGACCCTCAGGGAGGCCGCGGCTCCGCAAACAGACGATGGCCGCAGCCTGCTCCGCCAACTTCTTAGACTTGTCCCTGGGCAGACAAGGCATGGGGCAATAAGGCAGGTAGGCAGGCGGGCTGGTTGCAGGACTGGAAGCAGGGAAGGACTGACTTTATACACCCTTGCCAAAGATTCTGACAAAACTGAGGCAAGGGGTCATTGCCCAGGATGCCACTAGCCAGGTATGCCATCCTCCCCAAACCCTCCTCAGCCAGGCCCCTCATCCCAAGCCCCAAACCCACTGATGAGGAAACTCACCACAAGGTGGACTGGTACTTTTGCTCAGCAACAGTCACAACAGAGCAGAAGAGGCGATCCAGGGGGCGCTGAACCTGGTGCAAAGAGAGCAAAGGAAACAGGGATGGCTCCTTGGGGGCAAAAGAAATGAGCTCTGGGGCTCACCTGCAGGGACCACGTGGAAGACAGAAAAAGGGAAGTACTTTCCACATATGATAAATGAAAGCTACCCATATCACATGCTCCTCCTCAGCAGAAGTGCCTGGTGCATCTGCCAAGGAAGAAAGGCAGAGACATAAACAAGCAATGACATTCCAGTGTGTCAGGAGTTCAATCATGTACCTAAGCAAAGGGCCATCAGAGCCCTGAGCTGCATGTGACTATGGATCTGGATCCTACTGACATCTGGATGGGCCAGGTCACCAAAAATGAGAGGGAATTACCAGATGGCAAAGGGGTGAGAGGAGACAAGGATGGGGCAGAAAAGGTACACTTGGCAGAGCAACCAGGTGATAGGGCTGGACAAAGAGCTGAATGGATGAGACATGAAGCAGAAAGGCAAGAAGGGAGCTTTGTGCTCTGTGCTGAGGTGCTAGGACTTGATCCAAAAGGCACTGGGGAGAGGATGAGGACTTGACAAGGAGGCAGAGGTCAGATTCATTCTGGAAAAGTCACTCTGGAAGAGGAGGACACAAGTTCTGAAAGGTGTGAGCTTGGAGATCAGAGATTGAAGGCCAATCTAGAAGAGACAGAGCAGCCTTAATAACACATGGTCATAGAGACCAAAGAAGGTGAAGCAAGACTGTTTTAAAGTTTCCACCAAGGAGCCTCAAGTCTGGGGCCCAATTCTGTGCCCCATTGGCTGAAGCCTGGTCCAAAAACATGCCTGCCTAACTCTTAGGTTTGAGCATCCTTCCTAAGTGAGCCAACTAGTCCTTTCCAGAGCAGTCACTCTTATTTAAGAAACACCACTGGCAGAGACTGGCCCCAGTGGCCCCTTACATAGGTCTCAAGTTCAGTTTATGAAAGTGGCCAGAATTAGACAACGAGCCCACTGTCACAGGGAAGGGACTATCATATCAGCAACTGGTCCGGCCACCAGCAACCACTGCATGCCCCTGGAGGGCAAAGCCAGGCTGCAGTCAAGCAGTCTGGAATTCAGGGTACGAACTATGGGTGTGTTGGGGGTGATGGCACCAACAGTGGGAGCACTATAGAACTGAATGTGGGGCAGGCCACAGCTAGGAACTCACCGTGTCATACACAGGCTGCGCCAACTTCTCCTTCCGGCACCATTCCAGCAGGCACATCTTGGGGGTGATCTGGGGTGAGTATGCTCTCCTGGGGCAAGGAGGGGAAGGAGTAAGGTTCACCTACCATCACCACCAGGCTGTTGTCTTAGAACTCCTGTACTTATTCCCCTGAGCTCCCATTTCTGTCCCACCAGTCGTGTGTGGCCTGGATTCTACCTAATGGGAAGATGGGCTTCAGCATGCTTAGGGAATTGGGATATGAAGTGAACTCCCAACACTCTGAACTCTAGCCTAGAAAACAGCCTTCCACAGCCAGAAATGAAAGTACAGGGGCTCTTTCGTGGCTCAGTTAGTTAAGTGTCTGACTCAATCTCAGTTCATGTCTTGATCTCAGGGTTGGGAGTTCAAGGCCCCCATTGGGCTCCTCACTCACTGTGGCACCTACTTAAAAAAAAAAAAAAAGGAAACAAAGTTCAGTTTGCCTCTCAAGACAAGACAGAAGGGAGTGAGTGGGGGTTGGGAACACGGGTGGCTGCATGATGGTCTCAGATCTAGCTCAGTATCCACCCTTATTTTGTCCCCTGAGTATTAGGATGATGTTTCTGCCTTGAACTCAGTGTACTCTTAATTCATAGTCAGAGTTGGATTGTGACAGGGTGACAGGGTAGAAGGCTCTATAATCCAACTTCCCACCAGAAGCTCTCCCCAGACTGCCCTACAGCTGTGCCCATAGTCCTCTCCTCCCAAGCCCTTGCTAGACAAGACTGGCTCCTGGTATGGGCCTGGGGACCTGGGAAAGGCTCAGATCCCAGATGGCAGAAGACAAGGATAAGGACCTCCCTCAAAGCTGAGTCACATTCTGAAGCAATAATCATCATGGGCTACTTCTGACTAGAGAGGGTACCACAGGGCTGGTATGGGCCAGTGGGTATGGGCAGAGGTTGCATAGCCAGATGAGGGCAAAGGTCCCAATGCCTTGGAGGCACCTAGCTGTTTGGGACCAGGAAAAATGCACAGACTTTCAGGAACAGGAGACAAGCCCTCCCACCCTGAGTTGTGGGATGAGGTGGATCTAAGAAAAGGTGAAGTTTTGTCATCCTGGGACAACATGCACATCCCTGACAGTGCTGCCTGGGCTTTCAGGGACCGTCTTCCTCAAAGTGCCTTCTTGGAGATGCTGAAAAATAAGAATAAGTATCCCAATCAAGAAGACTTGGGGTCCCTAAACTTAGCATTAACCATGTACAGAAGCCAACCATGTACACTGCCAGTTGAGGGCAGTGGCTCTGGCCCAACTGGAGACCTACCGGTCAAACTTGACAGCCATCTTAATGACACCTGAGGTATCTTCAACAGGCTCCCGTGCAGCCTCTGGGGTCCTAGCCAAGAGCTCAGCCCGCCGGGCATTTAGCTCTAGTGTCGTCTCCTCGTAGAAGGCACCAAGGCCAAAGGCCTCACTATGAAAGGACAAGCAGAGCAGAGAAGACCCCTTAGTGGAGCCAGCATCCAGGAAACTACTGCAAGAGTCCAGGGACTCACCAATGAGATATGCCCTCTGCCCTCCCCCCTTCACCCCAACACACACATGCACACGCACGCAAACACCACCAAAACCTAGCCATCAGAAGGTGCCACTACCTACCCCTGGGATCAGCCTGGACTGGCAAAAAGTGAATGTGAGCCTCTGAGGGTGGACACTAGAGAGTAGGCTGAGTGAAAGGTCACCTCTACCACCTAAGCCCAGCCTCTCTTCCAAAGAAGAAAATACAAGCAAGTGTCCCCAGCCAACAGTAAGTGAACTGACCTACACTGAACAAGCACCTGGGTTTTACACAGCCTCATCCTCATGTGGGCCCAAGGGAGGAAGAGACAGAGGCCACGACCACTAAGTGGTTCCCCACTTCCTGCCCTAGCCACAAGCACACAAGCAGTTAGACCTAGCCTAAACTGAGGTACCACCCAGAACTACAGAGTTACATTCTTTCCCTTGAGTTCACAAGACACCCGAGTCAAGCTGGTTAGGCTCTATTGGGTAGGGCCAGCACCAATAGCACAAGCCTGGGGTTAGGGAGAGAGTTCTGGCAACTCCCTGAAGAATACTCATGAGGATGGGTGTGTGGGCTCAAGTGTGGTTTAGGAAAGTTTCTTTGAGGAGGAGGAAACAGCAAGGAGGAAAGAGCATTCAGGCAGAAGACCCAGTATGAGCACAAGAATGGAGCTGGGGATATGGACAAATAGGGAGCCACAGGGACAGGTAGTAGGCCAGGCTGTGAGGGGCCCCAAAGTCAACCACCTGAATTGGAGCTATACCAAATGTAGAGGACCAGTGGGTAGGGTAGCCTTCCAGACTGCATAGTAATGGGTTGTGGGAGCAGGCTCAGGCCAGGGGCTTAATACTACAACCCCAACTCTCCTGACCATTGAATCTTGATGGCCTGATGTGTGACAGATCTGTTACCGTGAAAGTTCTTTGCTCCCCAGGAATTCCCAAGCCCAGCCCCCACATTCCTCCATCCCACTGGCACTCCAGTTCCCAAAATTCTGCTATGAGATAAGTCCAGGGATGGAAAGCTCCAAAGCTTTGTTAAGTATCGTATTCTGGGAGGTGAAACTGTACCACCATCCCACTCCTGTATATCCATTTCCAGAAGCTGTATCCCTGGTCCCTGATAGTCAGCTTAGAGCTCATAGTCAAGTCCGGGCAACGTCTGCAAGGAATGAAGGACAGCCATTGCCCCTCTCACCAAATTTCCTGGGAAGACTGGGCGGCATGGAGCAACCTTCCCTGGGGTGATTCCAACTGTTCTCGCAGCATCTGGCACAAGCAGTACTTGGTGTTGGTGTAGTGGTTTTCATACTGTACAGCCTGAGGGAAGAACCAGCATGAGCCCACTTGCTGCCCAGGCTATGTCCTGATGGCAGAGAAAGGGGCTTTAAGGGGGCATGAGAGGTGTGCTTGCAGCTGAGGTAATATGAGCCCCTGAGAAAAGCCACTTCCATCTTGACCATCTACTTCTCTAGTTAGCAGTACAAAGCTCAAGAGTCATAGCCGAGATCAGGATTAGTAGCACACTTGACTAGACAGCCTGAAGGAAGTCTAGGTGTGTAGGGAGCCCCTCCTGCTGCAGCCACCACAGGCCACTACAGAGGACCTGCTGCCCTTCCAGGGCAGGGAGGGGGAACAAGTCAAATTCTGATGTGGCAGGAGCAGCACCAGGACAGGGGCAAGATTCTTCTATTTCTATACACAGTGAATACCTTCCTTTCCCACATCTTAAATGACCGGTCTCCAATATATGCTTGCATGGGAAAGCACAGCACAATCCACCAGTCATATTCCCATATGACTTGTCACCTCATTGAGCTTCACAAACCTCACAAGCGTGTGGTGCAGCTGTTACCATGACTCCTGACAAATGCAGGCTTAGGGAGGCAGGCTGGCTACACAGGGATACACACTAGAAGCCCGCCTGGCTGGGGCAGACAGAAAAGCAGTGGGTAAAGAGTGCCCTGGCCCGGGATCCCGGGGTGGCTCAGTGGTTTCGCACCTGCCTTTGGCCCAGGGCGCAATCCTGGAGTCCCAGGATCAAGTCCCGCATCGGGCTCCCAGCATGGAGCCTGCTTCTCCCTCTGCCTGTGTCTCTGCCTCTCTCTCTCTCTATGTCTATCATAAATAAATAAAAACAAATCTTTAAAAAAAAAGAGTGCAAGGGATCCCTGGGTGGCGCAGCGGTTTAGCGCCTGCCTTTGGCCCGGGGCGCGATCCTGGAGACGCAGGATCGAATCCCACGTCGGGCTCCCGATGCATGGAGCCTGCTTCTCCATCTGCCTGTGTCTCTGCCTCCCTCTCTGTTTCTCTGTCTCTCTGTGACTATCGTAAATAAATAAAAATTAAAAAAAAAAAAAGAGGGCCCTGGCCCTGTAGAACACCATCCCAGCCCTTGCCGCCTACACTCTTCTAATATCTTCAACTGGGCCTATATCTTCAGTGCCTGGGAAGGTGCCCTGACATGCTGAGGACAAAACAGAGATATGTTGGTAAGCCCCAGCTAGTGGCAAGGCCTTGACTGAGTTTGTCTGGGACAGAAGGCACCTGGCTGGTCCAGAAGCAGCCCTGCCTATACTTGAAAGCCACTCCCTTCCTCCAGGACAACAGCTCTTGAGGAGCTGCCAAAGGATAGACTGAGTAGGAATGATAATATCACCTTTTACCCAGGGAGCAGCACTGAGCGTATCTTCTCTGCTACAGACATACCAGCCAGCTGCAAGAGCTAGCACAGGTGGCCTGGGCTAAAGTAAGCCCTCCTTGTCTCTGGCTGACCCAGAGTACTGGGGAGCCTTGGTGGTCACCAACTTGCCCAACAGGACACCAGGAACCCAGGAGATGAGGGCTGTAGCATCAAGCAGGGGAGGCTCTAGGGCAGAAACCGCCCATTTTTGGACAGAAGCCTCAGGGCTTCCCCACCCCCAGCTTGCACAGTCTTGGGGATACCCACATGCCATGGCAGGCAGCCACAACTGAAGAGGGCATGGGCAGTGTGAGGATCTAAGAAGCTCTTGACTTTCCCAGGAAGGTGTGAGCTCCAGGATTGAAGAAGATGAGGGCTGGACTATCTGCTCAGACCCAATGCACTGAAGAATTAGAAGTCCAATATCTCTGCCTACAGACATGTACAGCTAATCAGAGTCATAGAATTCCAGGATTGTGCCTAATGCACAGGGCAGATGAACTGGTCAGAAAGTTCCTATAGAGGGAAATGCCTTTGGCACTACCATCAAATTCTCAGTGAGAGGAAAAGGCCAGTCCCTAATTAGAGGGTTAAAGTCAGGCTAGTCCCTAAGTCAAGGGTTAAAGGTTTCTGGGAATTAGCAAGAAAAGAGTTTTAGAAGTGATTCTGACTCATGACCAGAGAGAAGTCTCTACAGAGATAATCTGTCCTCAACAACAGTTACAATGGCTCCTCCTGGCTATGGCTGCTCAAGTGCCAACCCATTGGCATGAATGTCTTCCTGACACAGATCCCACTGTCAATGTGCATACATGTATATGTTGGGGGGGGTAATGAGAGAGAAAGAGAAAGATATCACATGTTTGAGCCCTGGTGGCATCCTGAATCCGGGGGTCCTTACTATGACCCTCACACCTAGAAAGCTTTAGAAGGAGGTAATGATAGGGGCACGCCTCCCCTGCACACTCTCTTCACGTTGCAGTCAGGGAAACCCAATGCTACGTTACAAGAACTAAAAAAAAATAAAGAAAAAAGAAAAAAAAGGAGAGGAACAACAGGGCTGCTGGGGGCTGGGGGCTCACCCAAAGCACTTTTTGCAGGAATGTGGCAGACAGTAAGAATGTTTCTTTTGAAAAAAGCGCATAGACGTACATATCGGATGTACTTCTGCATGACTTCCTCCAGGGGTCGCAAACCCTCCTTGAGAAAGATGGATGGGTTCCACATGGCGGCTCGGGCAACCATCACTGAAGAGGCTGCTGTAGCTTGTCGAAAGTCCTCTATGTCCAAATACTTTTGGATGTGGTCATGAGATCCTCCACTGAAAGGCAATAGGGGAGTAAGGGGTGTCCCCACCCTCATACCAGCAGTTTCAGAAAATGACAACTCCCAGAACTGCTACTTATTAATTGTGTGGTTTGGGCCAAATCCTTTAGCTATGAGCACTTTGAGAGCCTGGAGGTCATAATACACACCCCGCTAAGGGGTCAGGAACACCAAATAAAATAACACAGTAAAAAAGCCTGGAACCAGGCCTTGCACTTACCATGTCCCAGATTTTTACTTTCCTTCCTCCTCATCCTAAACAGTGGCTAAAGCCAGCCCAAATCTGAAGACATGGGTCTGTAAGTAGATGCTGGGATCACAGGAAAACCCTTAGCCTGGGGCACCTATATACTGACTAATGGGTAGGTCAAAAACCCCAGACACAGTAGAGATGAAGAAAGGAGGCCCAGTTTGGTTGCAATTTCCCTTCCTGCCACTCTGAGGCCCCAAGGGCCTCCTTGGAAACCGCTCTGTTTGCATCTGTTCCATTAGGAGTTGGATGACAATCTCAATCCAGAGACAGCGTTATAAGTATTATGAGGAAGACCCTCAGGTGGCAGCAGCAGCAATGGAATCCAAGCTCTTGAGTAGCCCTACCCTCTCTAAGCCACTCCTACAACTTCTTGGCCTAGGGACAACCAGGCCTGGCTAACACCCTCGACTTTACTTCCCTCCCTCCTTCCCACCAGTCAGGTATGCCTTTCATCAGGGCTTCGGGACTTTGGAACCTCTCTGTTCCCATCCTGCCATCAGGCTCTGTGCATCCTAAGCTGCAAGGCTACACTGGACTCCCGACTGGTCCACACAGCCAGCTCCCCAATGACAACTGGACACTGTCTTACTACTAAGCCTCTGGGCTAGTCATTGATACCTCACAACTACCCATTTCAGTTCCTGGTCCGATAGCTGCCCAGAATGCTTTGGATTGCAACCTGCCTTATGCCCCCTGAGCCATATCTCTGTACACTCTGGCTTGTGACTACTCACCCTCCACCCTGCACACCTAACTCTGGGTGTGACATCACTTTCCCCTGGGCCTCCTTCAGTGGCCACCTTCTCACTCTCCCTGTTCCCTGAACACTCCTTACCTCAACCCATCCATCAGAATGCCCTGCCTGCTGCACACCAACCCCAGCCACTCACCATAGGCTAGGGGACTCAACAGGTACTTTTCAGCCTCATGCCCAACCTCATTTTTTTGTCCCACCCTTTTTTCCTTTTCCCTTAGGTCATTTTTTAATGCTATCTCAGTCCTTTTTTGTAGGCTACCTCAAGTCTCTCCGAGTGAAGTAGAGCATAAAACAGTAAATGATAAACAAGAGAGGCTTACTTGGCTATGACAGGAATGGAGAGGGTTTCAGCAATGGCTTTAATGGCTTCACAGCTGACAGGGTGCTGAGGTCGTTCCTCCCGCTTCCTTGGAGATAAAAAGATGGGGCCAAGGGCTGAGGCTATGTCACAGTTCGAACATGTTTACCTTTAGCCAAACCCTACTGTCCTCCCTGCTGAAACTCAGCAAAGTCATGTGGCCATGAAGCACAGTGTTCTGGGCTGCAAAGGATGTCTCTCCATGACCTCTGTTTAAAGGGGCAAAAGCAGCATAAGCCCCTGTTGGGAAAGCAAGTCCAGCTCTTGCAGGCCTGCAGGTAAGGCATGGCTGCAGATGGCTGGTGTGGGTGGCCTGGCTCCCAAGGTCACAGTGCCTTTCCCTGGCTTCCCTTCACCTCTGCTAGAGATGAGGGACAGTGCTATAAGCATGCTGCCCCTACTGTCCCGGTCCTGCCCTCCCCACGAGACTGGGAACAGCTGCTGCCCTCAGTCTGGCCACTCCCACACAGCTGCCTATGCTGAGGCCAAGTTGGGCAGCTGATCCTGGGGAGAGGCACCTGGCACAGGGCAGACCCAGCAGCCAGGATGGGCCACAGATCATGGCTGTCACAATGTGCCCTGGGGAGGCAGGACAACAACCCGGGGCCCCTCCTTCCAAGGTCAATTGCAAGAAGTTCTTGTGTATGAGTGAGTCTTAGGGATACAAAATGAGTACTGATCTAAGTCGTGCCCAGGAACGAGCAAAAGAGATGGTCAACAAGACAACCCTTGCACAGGTCTTGCCTGGGCACATCCCTTCTGGTACACTCCTCAACAAAAGGGTCAGGAACCACACTACCTCAAGCCTCCTCCACCTCCACCTCTTCACACCCCCAGCAGCCAGTCTAGTCCATCCTCAACAGCTTTGATGGCCAGAAGGCCCCTTTTCAAACTCCCCCAAATCTGTCTTCCTGGTGTTTCCAACTACTGGCAAAAAGGAATAGCTGTGTTTATTCAGAGAATACCATATGCTAGGCATTGTGCCAAGGTTAAATATTCACAACCTCATAAAAGCCTCAAGACAACTCTATAAAGCAGAAATTATCTTAATTTCCAAATGGGGAATGTGGTGCTCAGAGAGGTTAAGTGATTTGTCCAAGGATACACAGCCAACAAGCAGCAGAGCTGGGAGCCCAAACCAGGAGCCTACAGCCTGCTGCGACCAGGAGGAACATGTGTGTACATGTGTGCGGCCTTTTACTGCCCCCTACTGGCTTTGACCCACACAGCTCTGCTTTTCTCTTACGTGTTGGAGTTACGGATTCACTTCTCTGAAATGCTGTAATAGACACAACCAGCAAAATGTGGACTGTTCCTACAAGACCCCTGAACCCGATAGGAACAACACTCAGAGAAGAGAGGTCATTCTAGCCAAAGGTTGTGGACCTGGGATGTACAAAAGCACATCTAGACACAGGACCTGGGATGTACAAAAGCACATCTAGACACAGGAAGCAAAAGTTTCCCTGACTGGGAAACCAAAAGTAGCCGTCAGCAACACCACAGCTCCCAGAAGAGAGCACGTTAGCTACAGATACAAGGGCGGTTTCAAGCAGTCATTGTGACAGCTGGAAATCCAAGAAGGGCAGACAAAAGAGATGGTGCCTTTAAAAGAACAGCCATCTGCCTGGGATCATTCAAGGGAGAAGCCATTGCTCAACGTAATGGAAAGAAAATGAGATTCAGAGTCAGAGTTCTAATTCCACCACTTCCTGGCTGCAAGGTACAATTCTGAACCTATCACTCAATCTCAACCATTTACACATCCTGAGGGTATGGGCGTTTCTCTTTCCTCTTGCATCTTTAAACTCAGTCTTCCTCTCCTTCTGTCTGTGTCTTTAAACTCAGGGCAGTGTCTACCCAGTTAGGTGCTCAGGGAATGAAACAAGGAATGCCAGCCTGTAAAGGGTGTGACTGCCCTCAGGACTTAAAGGATGTTAAAGAGCTAGGCAGAGTCAGGCTGCATATGTAGAAAAGTTGGCTGTCACCTGGGGTCTGGTGATGCCTGAGGACCTCTCTGCAAGTCAGTCACTAGACAGGCAACTACTCACCTCCCATGAACTGTGACGGCAGCGATGCCAGTCCTCTCTATCCGCTTCACAAGGCTCAAGGTATCTTCCAGCTGAGGAAGAGGACAGCCCAGGGTGGTTACTGAAGCTACCCAGGAAACAACTGCCAGCTCCCAAAGTGGGCTCAGCCCTGCTTTCTCCTCCAAACCTAATTCAGCTCTTCGAGAATCATCCACCCCCCCCCAAATCAACATCCCAAGAGAAAGTGGACCTTGAAATGTAACATATCATCCTTACTGATGGCAGGATGCGAATCTTGCAGGTCACAGGTCTGCGTATCCCTTTAACAAGAGTGCTGAGGATCTGCAGAGAGGAAAACACAAACTCTTCTGGAAAAATAACCACATTGCTCATACTAATTACCTGTGCTACAGACCTTTGCATCACCATGGCATGGACAAGTCCATGTTCATGTATGTGTCCTTCCTTTCCTACACTGGCACCCCAGCACCAGAAGCCCCTTGCCTGGTATACTGTGGTATACATATATTTGATAAATGAATGAATGAATGGGTCTGCATGCATGTCTATGAAGAACACAGTAAACCTTTTGCCAGGCAAACATCAGAATCATCTGGAGATGGGACACCTGGGTGGCTCAGTGGTTGAGCATCTGCCTTTGGCTCAAGGCGCGATCCCGGGGTCCTGGGATTGAGTCCTACATCGGGCTCCCAACGGGGTGCCTGCTTCTCCCCACGCCTATGCCTCTGCCTCTCTCTGTGTCTCTCATAAATAAAATCTTTAAAAAAAATCATCTGGAGAGCTTAAGAAACACAGAATCTTAGATTCTACCCCGAGTCTCTAGAGGCAGGGCTTAGGAATATGTATTTTCAAAAAGGCTCTATATTATTCAGCCATAAAAAGTAAGGAAATCCTACCATCTGCAAAAAACACGGATGGACCTTGAAGGCATTCTGCTAAATAAAATAAGTCAGAGAAAACAAATACGGTATGATCTCACTTATACATGGAAGCTAATAAAAAAGCAAAGCTCCTAGAAAAAGAAACCAAATTTATGGTTACCAGAGGTATTGGGAGGGGGAATTAGAGAAAGATGGTCAAAAGGTACAAACTTCCAATTAAGTACTAGGCATATAATGTACAACATAACGCCTGCAGCTAACACTGCTGTATGATATCCAGGAAAGTTGTTAAGAGAGAGGATTTTTTTTTTTTTAAGAGAGAGGATCTTAAGAGTTCTCATCACAAAGACAAAGTGTGTTTTGTTTTGTTTTGTTTTTATCTTTATAGTATAGTTGACAATGTGACAGTTTGAGAAGAGTTTTCTAATTTTCATTTTATTGTAGCTATATGAGATGATGGATACAGAATACAGTGCAGCAGGATCCCTGGGTGGCGCAGTGGTTTAGCGCCGGTCTTTGGCCCAGGGCGCGATCCTGGAGACCCGGGATCGAATCCCACGTCAGGCTCCCGGTGCATGGAGCCTGCTTCTCCCTCTGCCTGTGTCTCTGCCTCTCTCTCTCTCTCTGTGACTGTCATAAAAAAAAAAAAAAAAAAAGAATACAGTGCAGCTTACTGTGGTAACCACTTCACAATATAAGTAAATCAAACCGTCATGCTGTATGCCTTAAACTTAGACAGTGATGTATGTCAATTTCTCAATAAAACTAGAAAATCTTTTCAGATTTTAAAAAACACACTCCTTCGTCAACATAATTCTGAGGCCTCATCCTGGTTGAGAAGACATGGCCAACAGCTTCTTTCCTGATTGACGGCAATGTTCTCTGAGTGCTGTTCCAAGATCTTCCAAGTAAGAGAACCAGGAAGGTTGTACAGGTCCTGCCCAGGCCCTGTCCTCATGCAACTCTCTTTAGGTAAGTTGGATACACAGAAGCAAAATTGGCAAAGGAAAATATAACATATTCAACACATTGAAAAGCATTAATTTGCACAGTAACTGCAAAGGACTTTTCAAAGAAAGACCAAGAAGTCACACAGGAAAGAGTCAAGAGACGTAAGCAATGCCAGATCTCATATGAATCAGAGATCAAGAGACATGATCAAGATGACAATGAACAGCTGTCACATTACTATATTCTTCCCTCATTAAAAATTTCAGGCTTGGGCAGCCCTGGTGGCGCAGCGGTTTAGTGCCACCTGCAGCCCAGGGCATGATCCTGGAGACCCTTGATCGAGTCCCACGTCAGGCTCTTTGCGTGGAGCCTGCTTCTCCCTCTGCCTGTATCTCTGCTTCTCTCTCTCTCTGTCTCTCTAAATAAATAAATAAAGTTTAAAAAAAAATTTCAGGCTAGAAGTGCCTGGCTGCTCAGTTGTAGAGCCTCCAACTCTTGATCTTAAGGCTGTAAGTTCGAGCCCCACATTAGGTGTAGAGATTACTTTAAAATAATAATTTTTAAAAAACTAAAAACAAATTCAAGTTAGGCAAGCTGGAGGGAAGGTGATCCCAAGAGCTCTCTTCCAAGAACTGGATTGCCATCAGGGCATAGGGGACACTCATGCAGCTGCTGTCAGTCTTGGTTCTAGACAAGTGGGGGCAGCAGAGAGCCAGACTGCAAGAACCACTCTAGGAGGCCTTTCTCTCAGGCCTCAGCTGAGTCAAACCTCTCCCGAAGACATCAGACCAAGAGGCTGGGCTGACAAGGCAGGTAGACAGATCATGGGCAAGAGAGGGCTAATAGCCTAAGCACAAATGCCAGGAACTGGCAAAAAGGAAAAGTCCCTGGATGCTGTCCTGGGAGGCAGACTGGGCCTGTAGTCCTAGTGTCACTCTGGCAGGCTTTAAGGGGGCAAACTACCCTTTAAGGAGGGTAGACTGCCAGATCCACTGAGATACACAATAAAAATTCTCCTTCTAGTCTTTTTTTTTTTTTTTTTTTTCTCCTTCTAGTCTTATCCCTCAGGCTGGCAGTACCATCTCTGGAAGGTTCCTCTGCTAGTGCTGACTTAGAATCCCCTGAAGTTTCGTGACTAAAGCAACGTCAGCTGGTTTGATCCAGTTCTCTGTTTTGCAGAACTTCCTTTGCCGAATTTCATCCAAGTAGCTCTAAGCACTTTCTTTGGTATTTCTGTTCATTTCATGTGCATTTTCAGAATCAGGAAGGAAATTAGTAATCAAAATCCCCAGCCACCTGCAAGGGTCACATTGAGGGGACCAAGTGAATAGAGACTGTTTCTGGCTAGGCTCTAGCATGAAACCCTGCCGGACTCAACTCTACCAGACCTAAGTCACACCATCCATCTCTGTGGTGTGCAAGTCTGTGGGGCAGAAGGACCTGAGATAAGGTCATAACACAGGTAACATGGCACATCTACCCACAGGAAGGCTCATCTCACCAGATCTACTAGCTGACTCAGGAAAAGCAGACTCGTAGCTCCCCTGGTTGTTGTGGAATGGGTAGAAAGGTGGATGGGAGAGCATAGTTTTAGGAATCACTGAGAACTGAGCCCCACCAATTGTTAGTCATAGCCCAAGTGTACAGAGCAGAGGGGAATGCCCTGGGCACCCGAGGGAGGGGGGACAGGAAATCTTGGGCAGAGAGGATATTGGGTGAAAGAGAGGATATTACTAACCTAGAGTCTAAAACTGAGCTTCTTAGTCTAGGGAGGATACATCAGAGTTACCTAGGAAGTTTATTTTTTTTTAATTTTTTTCTAGGAAGTCTTTTTAAAAGACTAATTCATACTCTCTCCCAGCCCTTATCAACCCCAAGAGTATACAGAATTCTCAACAGATAAAATCCTTTAGAATCCTTTATTATTATTATTATTATTATTATCATCATCATCATCAAATATATATAACATAAAATTTCCCATTTTAGCCATTTTTAAGTGCATAATTCAGTGGCATTAATTATTTTTGCAATGTTATATAACCATCACCACTACCTATTTCCAAAATTCTTCATCACCCAAACAAGTATCTTTGTTTTGAAAAAATGCTGCAGGTCATCCTGAAATGCTCCCAGAGACAGAACCATGGACCTAAAACACCAGCCTGGAAGAACTCACAAAGCTCTCACCCAGGTCCCCCAGTCTGCCAGCTGAGTTTGAACCTGTATCTAATCCAGCCCACTACTCTTGGGTCCCATCTGGCTTTGTTGTGGAAGCCTACAACCTCCCCTCCATGAGGCAAACCACAACCACTAGCCAACCTAGCCCATCGAACCACCCCACCAAACAGAAAAGGAATGGAATAAACTGAGCAGTGTAACTGTGCTGCCTCATGTATGAAATGTGCCTTTTCCAAAGAGGTGCAGTGGAGAAGACAGAGCCAACAGGGAGGCAGCAACCAGGAGGCTGCAGGATAGGATAATGTCTGTGGGCACATGCAAAACCACCTAACAGTGGGGCCTCTCCCCTAAGTGTGGTGATGAGCTGAACATCCACAGTTGTCCAAATCACTCCATTCTGCAGAGATGTCTGACTGGAGGTTCCTAAATCCAGATGTCTACTGACCCGTACTAGACACTTATAAACTACACCCAGGCACCGTTAAACTGAGGTACCATCAAGAGGGGGCAACTGATACTGGGCTAGAGGTCCCAAGATCATGGCTCTAGCCTTGGCTCTGCCTGCTATTTATTCGCTACATAATCTTGAGCAAATTATTTTTATCTCTCTGTGCTTCAGTTTTATTATTCTTAATCATATTGACATAACAAATGCCTCCCCTGTCTACTTCAAGAGGCTTGAGGAACAAACTGAATATATATACATGCATACATAAGCACATTATATATGTAATCATCATATAATATGTGATTACACATATATTATTATATACAGTTACATAGAACATATATAATGTGCCTATGTATGTGTGTCTATATATATATATATATATATATATATATATATATATATATTTACACATGGGAAAAATGAAAAAGCACCAAGCCCATCAACACACTGGTCTTCCAATATCCCAAAAACAGTGGGGCTGAGGAATATACATGGCTGAGCTGCAATGCAGCAGCCAGCACAAGAAATGGCAGCTTTTCTTGGTAGTGCCTTATTCCAAGTTGCTCTAGCCTATGCGAGGCACTTGGAGGCTTAAAGCCCAGACAGGGAAGCGGGAATGGAGAATGAAAATAAAGGAACTAAGAAGAGCAACAAGGAGAGAGCTGGTGGACTGAGAAAAAAGTAAAAGGTATAAATGGTGCTGCAGAAATGTCACCCTTACAGGCCTTGGCAGCTCACAACACTGGGCAGCAATGCCAACCTGTCGACAGTGCCTCATAAACCTGGCCTTTGGAATCACCAAGGGAAGGGGACCAGAGGGGACCAACTTCAGCTCACCTCAGATGACACTGGCCTGACTCTCAAAGGCTGATGACAGACTCTACCAGTAGGGAGGGGACCCACAGCTGCTCTCAGCAAGCCCCCTGGGAGAGGCCATCTCACCCCCACTGCCATTGAGTCTGTCCACAATCCACGGGTAGCCTGGCCTATGCTCTCATGATCTCCTCAGAAGAGAGAACAGGCCATACACAGGAGGCTCTAAATGACTCCTCAAGCTACCTGGCTCTCAGGTGACCTGTCCCTAAGCCTTGGACTTTTGAGGAACTCCAAGGCTCTTGTATGCTCTCTCAGATGTTCCCAAATCTGGCTGTATGTCACAATCACTGGGTAGCCTTTCAAAACTTTTCCAGACTCCAGGGGGCACCTGGCTGACTCAGTCAGTAGAGCGAATGACTTTGGATTTGGGGGTCATGAGTTCAAGCCTCATGTTGGCACAGAGCTTACCTTAAAAAGGTGGGAAGGGGGAGCACTTGGATGGCTCTGGGATGGGGCGTCTGTCTTTGGCTCAGGTCGTGATCCCGGGGTCCTGGGATCGAGTCCCGCATCGGGCTCCCCGCATGGAGCCTGCTTCTCCCTCTGCCTGTGTCTCTGCCTCTCTCTCTGTGTGTCTCTCATGAATAAATAAATTAAATCTTTAAAAAATAAACTAAAATAAAATAAATAAAAAGATGGGAGGGGGAGGGTGCCTGGGTGGCACAGTTGGTTAAGTGACTGACTCCTGGTTTCAGTTCACGTTGTGATCTCGGGGTTGTGGGATCAAGCCACTATCCCTCTGCACTCAGCAGAATCTGCTTCAGATTCTCTCTCTCTCCCTTTGCCCTTCCCAATCATGCACTATCACTCATTCTCTCTCTCAAATAAATAAATCTTAAAAAAAAAAAAATTCCAGACTCCAGGTAGAGTAACTGAGTAACTGATTCACTAATCTTGGGGGAAGGGGGCATTGGTGGGGGGAGGGTTGTTCCAGACATCTCTATTCACAGGCATGTTTAAGACCTCTGCTTTCACTCCTGCAGGACTTACCTTCTCAATCTTGTCAGGGTCTGATAGCAGAGCAGCTCCCATTCCTCCCTAAGGAAAAAGCACACAGAGGGTCTTCTTATGGCTGGAGGAGAGTGGTCCATCCCCACAGTGCAGCAACCTGGCATCGCCCCAGCACTCACAGGCAAGAGACCAAGGTTCCCTGGCAATTGGCACTTCTGGTCAAGCAGGAAAGTAGCAGCATCCATGCCCACAATATCAGGGATCAGAGTTTGATAAATTCTAAAACTCATCACTCTAATCCTCTTAGCAAAACCCACAGATCTATCAGCAAGTGGGTCCCACAAAAATTGTTTTTCAGGAATGCCCATTCCTTACCCAAGAGTCTTAATAAACTAAACCCCACAATATGGCAACCCCTTAAGAAAGCAATGAATCATTCTCCCTTTGGAATGAGATCCAATGCACCTTCGTCCTACACTACCAACACTTGTTTTAGTACCATCACTGCCAGCAAAGCCACTTAGAGGAACATAACCTGCAAACCTTGTCCAGGCTCTTCTTCCTTGCTAGCAACAATGCTCCAGACCAACATCAAACTCTAGCAAAAGCCCCAGCTGATGAAAACCAACAACCTGCAGAGCCACATAAATCTTGACATTAACAATAGTAGTTGTCTCTTGATGGCGGGGTTATTGATGATTGGTCTTTTTTTTTTTTTTTTTACTTTTCTATATCACCTAAGTTCTGGACAATGGTATGAATTACTTTAATAATCAGCAAAGGGGAGGATGTTAACAAAGCTGAACTTGTTAAAAATGAGGTGAAGGGAAAAAAAAAACAAATCTAATAAATAAATCCCTTGTCAGTATATAGACTTCGATCTAATGAATGCTCATAGGATATGCTCAGAAGTTTGAAGTTTGCTTATTACAGTTTAATTTCATATTTAAGGATGATAGATTAGAATCAGAGAACCTGAACCACCCGCAGACTCGGCTAGCCTGAGTCCGCATTTCAGAGGAAAATGGAAAGGGCAGAGGAGCTACCAGCCCTGGCCTACCTTGGCTACAGATACAAACCTTAGAAGCCTTAAGAGAATCCCAGCCACTTATCCTGGCTCCATCTATCCACCCGACACACAATCCAGCCCTGCCTTGTGGAATCACATGATCTAAATCCAGCCCTCCCACAACAATAGCTTTGTCAATGAGTATTTCCTTCCTTCCTTCCTTTTTATTTAACTTACTTATTTGCTTTTTTGAATACATAACACATTAAAAATTTTAAAGGTTCAAAAGGGTAAAAATAAGAACTCTCCTTCCCTGAGAAATGGAAAGCTTTTCAATTTATGCTTTTTATAAGGCTTCAATTTTTTAACCATCGCTATTCAGGTGGTATATACTGGTATAGCATACTGGTACGTATCTGTTCTGACTGGCCAGGACCAGTGCTGTGCCAGTTGTTAGTTATTTTGAGGAGCACTACAATGGGAATTTATTTCTCATGCCAAACCAAATAAAAACTTGGTTACCTTCCCTAGGGAAAACACTAGTTTCTTGTGAGTCTTTCCAAAAATATTCTATGAAGAGAAATGTAAATATATAAATAATTCATTCCCTATCCCTCATATATAGTTGGTGGTACATCTTATCTAATTTGGCTCCTTGCTTTTTCATTCTACAATGTATCAGGGAGATAATGCCAATAATTTAGGCTCTATGCTTTATATTATCTCAGAGCATAAAGGAGTAATTAGAAGACAGCAAAACAAGGTCCCAAGTTTTCAACTTCTCATAGACAATTTTAAACTTCCATAATTCCTTGAAGTAGGCCCTATGGTTTTCAAGTATCCAAAAGAGCCTTTCCCTCAAGTAATCTTTTACCTCCTGGCCTAAAGCCAAAGTTCTCAAGCCACTAAACTCCTGGGAACAGAGTGGCTGACTCTGGGCAGGGGAACCAGGAGGAAATCTGCTATGTCTACAGTGCAGATCATGACTGCATACCCTGTGATAAGTTTCCCAGCGGCAGCCCCACAGAACTCCCTCTGGGGCCTCACATGCAGCCAACCCCAAGCTGTCCTTGTTATCTGTCCCAAACATGCTTTTCCTCCAGCAGTCCCAATCACACTGAAGACAAACTGTCCTCCTAGCTACTGGTCTTTCCTCCCTCTACCCCAAATACTCACCTCACCTTCCCACACCCAGTCCAATCAATTGCCAAGTCCTATCAAATTCTGTGTTTCACTTCTCCTCTCTCCATCCCTGATCTCCCCAATGCACCCAGGACACTCATCTCCTAAACCTGTGTCCTTACCTCTAGCCCAATTTCCACTCAAATGTACCAGACATGGCTTTCAAATTAGTATTTCTAAGTATTTCTATCACAGAATATATTTGGAAAGACACACAAGAAACTAGTAACACTGGTTTCCCCTGGGGAATGAAGTTTCTGATCACATGCCTTCTCTGTGCCAAAAGGCCAGAAATATCAAAAGTCCATGTTCAGCTAACCTGGTCCTAACCAAGATTTTCAGTCCTGTGCTCCTATTTCCTCTTCGTCTTCTACTCCCCAGCTCTGGTCAAACCAAGGCTCTCTGCCTCTATCTCATATTGGCCTCCAGGCCCCTGCTTATACCACTTCCTCTGCCTTCAGGGTCCCAAATCTCCTCATCGAGGACCACATTTCCCTATTAAGATATTAAGGGCTGCCTTTCCACTCCATTTTCTGAACTGCCCTAACACTGTGGTCTGATTTTCTGATATGACAACGGGCACACATATACTGCATCCTCTTTTTCTTTTTTTAATGTACATCTTGGTTTTTTTTCATGAAAAACCAAAGCCCTGTTCACATTTTTTCCTTTTAACATTTACATCATTAATTACTCAGGCATGAGTGCTTTATGTGTGTTTATGTGTGCATGTTCAGGTAAATAAAGTTTGTCCTGAACCACTTGCAGGTAAGTTACTGATCATTGTATCATAGCCCTTTACATGTAAATATTTGTGTGTATTTTCTAATAGAGATACTCTTGGGGCTTCTCCCTGGCTGAGTCTATAGAGCATGCAACTCTAATCCCAGAATTGTGAGTTTGAAACCCATACTGGGTATGTAGAGATTACTTAAAAATAAAATCTTTAGGGGCGAGGTGCCTGGGTGTCTCAGTCAGTTAAGCATCCGACTCTTGATTGTAGCTCATGTCATGATCTCAGGGTCATGACATCGAGCCTCACTTTGGGTTCCAGGCTGGGCATGGAGACTGCTTAGGATTCGCTCTCTCCCTCTCCCTCTGCCTCTCTCTCTCTCTCTCTCAATACAATTTAAAATTTAAAAAAATAAATTAAAAAAAAACATTTTTACAAAACCAGAGAAGAGTTATCAATTTCATAAACATATTGATACAATATTTTTTTTTAAAGATTTTACTTATTTATCCATGAGAGACACACACACACACACACACACACACACAGAGGCAGAGACACAGGCAGTGGGAGAAGCAGGCTCCCTGCTGGGAGCCCGATGTGGGACTCAATCCCGGGTTTCCAGGATCACACCCTGGGCTGAAGGCAGCACTAAACCGCTGAGCCACCGGGGCTGCCCTGATACAATATTTGTAGCTAATCTGCTATGCTCCATATTCCAATTTCGCCAGTTGATCTAATAATATCCTTTTGAGCATTTTCCCCATCTAGTATAGGATCTACTCCAGAGTCAGGTAATGTCTTGTTAGTCACCACTACTCTGTATTCTATATTTGTAAGGCATATAAAGAAATCAGTTTACCTTGGTGGAATACTCTTTTGGACAGCCCATGTTTACATCAATACCAGCCACATCATTTTCCCTGGAAAAACATGAAGTAGAAAAGATAATAAATATCCAACTTGAGGAGAGAATTTAGAGTCAAAGGCATGGATCTGTGCTCATAAACCTCTTTCCATGTTCCTGGCCGTATTAAATATACCAACCCTCAGAGACAAAAGGTGAAAAGCTGGTCTCTGAGGGCAGCCTGGGTGGCTCAATGGTTTAGCACCTGCCTTCAGCCCAGGGTGTGATCCTGGGAACCCGGGATCGAGTCCCACCTTGGGCTCCCCACAGGGAGCCTGCTTCTCCCTCTGCCTGTGTCTCTGCCTCTTTCTCTCTGTGTCTCTCATGAATAAATAAATAAAATATTTAAAAAAAAAACTGGTTTCTGAAAGGTAGAACTGCCTTCCTTGAGCAGAGTTCAAGAGGAAGAGCATATTGTGCTCAAACATCTACAATGGGCTAGTTGTAGAGGACTTTGCTACTTGGGAATTATATCAGATAATCCAAATACCAAATGACGGCCACACTGACTGAATTTGATCCCAGAGTTCCAGTTCTGACTGGGGTAGTACAAGCTATTTGTCAACACATAGAGCCCCTTCCAGAACACTGGTTCTAGGAGAAGTTACAGGACTGCCTTTGTTTGCTGGGCTATATGGTTGGCTTACTCCAACAATTTTGTGGCAAGGACCCTTAGCTCATCTTCTGGTATGTAGATAGTTAACAATCTGTAGCTAATGCCTAAGTTCCTTCTCACCATTATTTCACTTAATAATAATAACTAACACTAATTACTCACTATGTGCCACATTACTGTGAAGACATTTATGTGCATTATTTCATCTACCGTCACCTATAAAGACAGAGGTAGGTAGTACTATTGATCTCATTTCATAGATAAGGAAACTAAGTTCCCTTGGTTAAAGTATGATTAGTCAACTTATCTAAGAACAAATAACCCTTGGGAGGGTGCTCAGCCCCTGGAATCTCAGCAAGCAGCAACTCAGAATTCCAACCCAGGTCTGCCTAACTCTAAAGCCCATCTCCTAACCATGTACTCTCCTGCCTTCATTAATCTAGGCAGCAGTAAACCTTATCTGCACTTCCTGAGCCTCAAAATGTTAGGGCTCATAGTCATAAGAAACCCTGGAAAGGGAACTTCATGAATAAATACTAAAAAATAGCTGCCTGAACAGAGGTTATCTGGAATCTGGGTACTGTTGGTACACATGAGTCCCAGGCCAGCCCTCAGATGCAAAAACAGAGAAAACAAAAAATAACAGATACTCTTAATTTGGAAAGAGAAGGTAAACAGCTAAGAGACAGAAGGATGGTCACCTCCAAGGTCACCAAAACAGTAAAGCTTCACAGCCCATAGGAGAGGAAAAGGCAGTCCCAAAGACAGAACTTACACAAGTTTGGCCACAGCAAGGGCTCGATCTGCATCTGAGGTCCCCTGGGAACAAAAGAGACTGCATCAATCACCATCCCTGACACAGGTATACATGCACAGATGCATAGACAAACACATCTATGCACTCCATGTGCACGCACACTTCAGCAAGTAGAGTCTGCCTGTCATCCTCTTAAACAGCCAGGCCACTGAACTAGCTCACTGTCAGAGGTAAAAATTGGACCTGGAAGGCCTAGAAAACATCCTCAATCCTGTGATTATTTTCTAACACAAAAAAAAAGTTGACAAAATTATATAGTGAACATATATTCATATACTCACCACTTATATTCTACAATTAATATTTTGCTATATTTGCTTTATCATATGTCTACCCATTGTTAAGTTTAAAAACTTAAACATCTGGGGCAGCCTGGGTGGCTCAGCAGTTTAGCGCCTGCCTTCAGCCCAGGGCGTGATCCTGGAGTCCCGGGATCAAGTCTCACGTCGGGCTCCCTGCATGGAGCTTGCTTCACCCTCTGCCTGTGTCTCTGCCTCTCTCTCTCTCTCTCTGTGTGTGTGTGTGTCTCATGAATAAATAAATAAAATCCTTAAAATAAATAAAATAAAATAAGATAAAAATAAAAACTTAAACGTCATACAGAACTTATTTCTGAAAAAGTGAGAGAAGAGTGCTATGGAGTCATTCAAGCCAAACATAAATCAACTAGTCTTGAGGAAACCTAATTTTCTTTCTATGGGAAATATATACAGACTATACAAAAACAAAGAACATGAACTGAATAACCAATCCTAGCAGGTAAAAATATATAAGTCATGCCAAACAAACAATTCCAACAACTAAGGAAATTATGTTTGACACTGGAGGCATGTAACAGAGTGCTCTAACTTGACTTCCTTAAACTCTCTCTGACAACATAAACACTCATGAACAAATCTTTGAAAAACATTAAAGCAGTCTAAGGAAACCACTACTATGCAACAGAGCCCAGGCATTTAAGGATGCATAACCCTTGGGAGGGTGCTCAGCCCCTGGAATCTCATACCATCTGGAAAACAACCTTGCTCTGCTCTCTTTCGCAGGTGCGGAAGACGACTCGGTCATCAGGGGCGACAAAGTCCACTGTACTGAGCACCTCTGCAAGAAAACACAAACACACAGGGCCACCCAATGAAGAAGCAAGTTCAACCTAGCCTAATCCCTGGGAGAAAACACAGCAAAAAAAAAAATCACTCTGAAGGGGAGAAATGGATGCTGGAAATACACAATTCTTTAAAGAAATCAGTGAGCACCTGGAAGCTTCTGAGGTGCTAATGATGGTCTATTCCTCGATCTAGGGGATGGTTAGTTACAGCTGGCTGCTTTACAGTTATTTGTTATACTGCATGCTTGTGTTTTATGCACTTCCTTGGTATAGTATTTACATTTTGTAATTTTTAAAAGACTGAAAAAAAATGTGCATACATGGAACCTTGTCTATGTTTTAGCCTTGGCCCAAATTTTCCCAGATGTCACTCTGAAGTTCATTCAGTAAAGTTGCTGTTTCTTAATTATTTACCATGTACTGTGAGTGGAGATTCACTCTATTACAGTCAACCCTCATTACGTGTACTTACATACTTCCAAATTTGCCTGATTGCTAAAATGTATCTGTAACCCCAAAATCAATACTCATGGCATTTTCATGGTCATTCACAGACTGATGTAGAACTGCAAAAAAAAGTCAGTCCTCTGGGGATCCCTGGGTGGGCAGCGGTTTAGCGCCTGCCTTTGGCCCAGGGCGCTATCCTGGAGACCCGGGATCAAATCCCACGTCGGGCTCCCGGTGCATGGAGCCTGCTTCTCCCTCTGCCTATGTCTCTGCCTCTCTCTCTCTCACTGTGTGACTATCATAAATAAATAAAAACTTAAAAAAATGTTAAAAAAAAAAAGTCAGTCCCCTGATGTGTACATTTCCAGCTAAGGTCTTATACTGTAAATAAGTGTCCTTATGGCGGTATATTTAACGTCACATATTTCTGCATTTGTGGGCCTTTTGTTAATTCCGCTGTTGAAAATGGCCCCAAGCACAGTGCTAAAGTGTTATCTCGTGCTCCAAAGCACAAGAAGGCTCAGAGATGCCTTACAGAGAAAATACATGTTAAACAACCTCTGTTCAAACATGAAATTAGAGAACTGAAGTCTGTGAGTTCAATGTTAAAATAGAAACACATATAAAACAAGGTTATGTACTGATCTGTTAGTGAAAATGCTGTGACCAGATGCTTGCACAAACTTAATCCTGTATTTCCCCTAAAAGCAATGGTTCAGTATTTGCTAATTTGTGGTTCAATGCAACCTAATAGAACATAATTGTTGTAAATAATAAGAATTTCATATGCTGCTCAAAATACAGCTCTATAGTAGGTACTACCATTATTAGCTCTCAAAGATGACGGGCACATCAAAGAGATCCAATGTGGCAGATGGGAGATTATGCCTACCTTGTGCATTTATTTTGAGAAATGAATGAGATCTTTAATACACGTAAGGCATTTCCATAAATGGAAGCAGTTATTATCAACTCAGCACTAAACAGATTAGGTTAAAAACGTAGGGTAAAGGTGGTGACACGTTGGGAGAGGCAATTGAAGCAAATTCCAACAGCGCAGGCTTTTAACTAGCAAGAGGAAGTCTGAGAGAAGAACTGCAAAAACTTACTGTGTTTATACAGCTTTATTTTTAACAGCAAAATACTGGAAACTCCCATTAAAACACTGATGAAATCAATTCTGACATAATTATCTACAGGTACTGACATGGGGAAAGGTTCTAGTAAAAAAGTAAGGGGCAAAACTTGCAGAGCATGATCCCAAGGGAAAGCATATACAGAAACATTCTCTATTTTTACATACACACTTTACTAAACGTGTAAAAAATATATATTATTCCTCCTCATGATTACCTCTTCAAATATGAAATTATGGGCATTTTCATTTTCTAGGCTATATGGTTCTGTAAAAATGAAATTTTCGTAACAAAAAAATATAAATCTAAAACAAAGACAAAATGAGTCACAACTTCTGATATTAAGATTTCAAAAATGGGTATACATTTCAAAAACCTCAAACAATACCACAACTCTAATCAAAACAGAATCAGCCTCATCAATAAAACATAAGCAAAACCACAATTTAGCACAACCACTTCTATCTGCAAAGTACTTACACGTACCTTATCTTATTTGATTTTCACTCCAACCATATGATTTAAGTAAAGCAGGGGTTTTGATTTTCATCTTAACAGCTGAAGAAATGGAGGCAGAGAAGTCATTGTGACTTGCCCAAAGTCACACAGCTAGGGAGTAGCAGAGTCAGGAACAATGCTGAAGCTGGCCAACCCCAAGGCTTTTAGGGTCCCTCCTCTACTATGAAACCTGTCACTGTCTATGCCAGCAAGCCTGTGGGTGGAAGGTATTCTCAGCCTATTTTATATTTGGCTCTTTGTCAGGGTCTCTGGAGAGTAGTGACTGCTGTCAAAGGAGGACACTATCCACAAAATGACACAGCCAGGCAAGGAGCACACTGGCAGGACACTGTCACTCCACGCAAGGGCAGGAGTAGTTGGTGCTGCTTGGGCCTGACCAGGTACCCACACAATCCTGGGATCAGAACTGTACTCACCATTGACAACTCTCTTGCACTGAAGCATCTTGAGGTCAATCAGCTCCTGCAGAGGAATCAGAGGGCACTTATCGGTGCTGGTCATGTAGGTCCTGGGCCCAGGGGGAGGGACCTTCACTGGAGGTCGCTAATGGGAGGGTGGTCACTCAGCCTGTTATCCTACTACTAACAACAAATCATGGCTTTTGGGAAATGTAACACTGATATCCTCCCCTAAACATGGCAAGCAGGAGCCTGAGTGAGCTACCCTCGGTCAGCTGCTCCTCCCAGTGGCTGTGAAGACATCGGGGGCCTAGGAAGGATGAGCTACTCAGGGAGCCAGAGAGAAGACAATAGACCAGATTATGGACACCTGGACACTCTCCCCACCTACTCATCTCAGTTCCAGTCCATCCCCTCAAAGACCCTCCTACCTCATCCCCACACAAACAGCAGTGTTGGGCTCCCAGGAAATGTCCAAGGACAAAAGTGGGACCAGTGAATAAAAGCAGAGGGAGGAAGCCTTGAGATCAGTTCTAAAACTCCTGCCCAACATGGGTCACACTGTGTGGAAACAAAAGGGGTGAGCTCTTTGACTCTGGACATCTTCAAACTGACTTAGGAAAGAAAAGAGAAAGAGGTTTCTTCAAAATCAGGATCATGAAAATGAAGGGAAAGCTCCTGTCTCCTGAAGGACTAAGATCCTCTGCCTCTTGGTAGGAAACAACTGTTCTGCTTTGTTCAGTGATCATTTCAAAAAATGTGTAAGATAAAACCTGACACACTGCCCAGAAGCTCATACCAAGGGGTTCTGCAGGTCCAGAAAAATAGAGAGGAAACTCTGCCCCCTGGTATCCATCCCCATACTGACTACCTATGAGCCTCAGCAAGTCACAACTCCAGCCAGGTGGGCACAATAGCTCCCTCATGGGAGTATGCAAAGCTAAAGTGGCCAAAGGGTACCTATGGCTTCCCCACATACTCATCATCTGAGTTAGTACACACATAGGCGTTTCTCTGGCTATTCTCTATGTTGCATTCAGGTCATCAAGTACCCGATGTCCACCAGTCCTGGCCAAACAAATCACCACCACCAAGCAGTTACGGATATGTGGCTGGCATTTAACCCCAAGAGTCAGTGTAGTGTCTCAAGGGATGGACAGAGCCCAACACAGAGCCCCTGGAGCCAGGATCTTAGTTGCAGGGGCAGGCCAAAAAGGCAAGTGGGAAAGTGGGCAGAGCATCAAATGGCCTGTGCTCATAAAAAGAAGCTTTGCAGGCAGGCTGAACTTCAGCCAGAAATGAGCAGACGACAGCAAGGCAAGCCTTTGCTGAAGCCCCAGCCCTGCCAGATCTAACTTGTCCTCCTCAGGATTCCCAAACGCCCCTCCTCCAAGTCCACATTTGCTACTTCAAATGCTAGCTATACATACCTCAGTCATACCTTTACATTAGACTATAAACCCCCTGAGGAGGATCCTGTGACCACACAAAGGTAGGCCTTGAGGACCCAGGCCAGGTAGCCTGAGCCACAAGAGGAGGAATTAAGGCAAAATGGCCCTTGAAATGTCTTGTTTTCTTTTCAGTCTCCCCACCACACCAAAGGAGCCTGTGGGGCCTGGATGCCTTTTCATTCATCACCAGCATCTAGCATGTTGCAAGTGCTCACGAAACATCTGCCAGAACCTCTTCAAGACCTTGTATGCAGCAGATGTTCAACTGTTTAAGTGGAAAAATTAAATTGTCACCAATAAAATCACAAGTGTGTCTGCTCACCCACGCACCCTCAACACCACTGTTCGTCAATTTTATTCATTTTAGTTAGTTCTGGGATAAAATGGAACCTCATAGTTTTTTCACTATATTTCCTTAATTAAGTGAAAACAAACATCGTTTTTCTTAGTGGTAGTTTATGATCAGTGAATCTTCAGAGCAAACTGCCTTTTACATCTATACAAGTTGCAGGAAAAAAAATCTATTCTTTGTCAAATTGGATATTGAGTTTTTCTGAGTTACCTACCACAAATACTTTTCTTCTATTACTACCACTTCCTCAATTGCTTTTTTAACCTATGCTCTACTTTTTTTTTCTAGTTTTGAGATATAGTTGACATATAATATTATGTTACTTTCAGGTGTACAACAGTGGTTCAAACAATTCTATACTTTATGAAATGTTCACCACAAGAAATGTAGTTACCATGTATCATCAAACAAAGTTATTACAGTATTATTGACAATATTCCCTAAGCTTTACTTTTTTTAAAAAAGATTTTATTTATTTATTCATGAAAGACACAGAGAGAGAAAAGCAGAGACATAGGCAGAGGGAGAAGCAGGCTCCAGGCAGGGAGCCTGATGTGGGACTCCATCTTGAGATCACGGATCAAGCCCTGAGCCAGGGGCAGGTGCTCAACTGCTGAGCCACCCAGGTGTCCCAGTGCTTTTCAATCCTATAACTTATTCATATTATAACTACAAGTCTGTACCTCTTAAACTCCTTTGCCTACTTCACTCATCCCCTAACTTCCTCCCCTCCGGCAACCACTAGTTTGTTCTCTGTATTTATGAGTTTGTTTCTCTTTTTTGTTGTTGTTTCTTATTTGCTTTGCTTTTTAGATTCCACAGGTAGGGGCAGCCCCAGTGGTACAGCGGTTTAGCACTGCCTGCATGGATCGAGTCCCACATCAGGCTCTCTGTATGATGCCTGCTTCTTCCTCTGACTGTGTCTCTGCCTCTCCCTCTCTCTGTCTCTATGAATAAATAAATAAAATATTTTAAAAAAATTTAAAAATAAATAAATAAATAGATTCCACAGGTAGTAAGATCAGACAGTATTTGTCTTTCTCTGTTGACTATTTTACTTAGCATAATACCCTCTAGGTCTATCCGCGTTGTTACAAACCTTAATTTCTATCGTACATAACATTCTATTTTTATAGGAAAGATCACCCTAACTTGGCCATGAACAGTACCTTTTACTTCCTAAATATATCTCCATTATATAGTGAAGAATATAATCTTGGGGCACCTGGGTGGCTCAGTTGGTTGAGCGACTGCCTTTGGCTCAGGACATGGTCTCAGGGTCCTAGAATCAAGACTCACATTGGGCTTCCTACTTCTCCCTCTCCCTCTGCCTATAGTTCCTCCTGCTTGTGCGCTATCTCTCTCTCTCTCTCTCTCTCTCTGTCAAATAAATACATAAAATCTATAAATAAATAAATAAATAGTCTCAATTGTTTTTTCCTCTTCTTAAAAATAATTTTTTTAAGATTTATTTATTCATGAGAGACAGAGAGAGAGGAGGCAGAGACATAGGCAGAGGGAGAAGCAGGCTCTTCACAGGAGCCCAATGTGGAACTCGATCCTGGATCCCGGGATCATGATGACCTCAGCCGAAGGCAGCCGCCCAACCACTGAGCCACCCAGGCATCCCATTCTTTATAAAAATAATTTAGATTTTGTTAAAAGAGTCCTCTTGTAACTTCTTAAAAAGATTTATTTATTTATTTATTTATTTGTTTATTTATTTATTTATTTATTTGAGAGAGAGAGAGCACACATGCATGTGCATGAACATGAGCAGGGGCAAAGGGAGAGAAGACGACTCCTGCTGAGCAAGGAGTCCAATGCAGGGCTTGATCCCAGGACTCTGGGATCATGACCTGAGCCAAAGGCAGACACTTAACCAACTGAGCCACCCAGGCATCCCAAAACGAATTTAGATTTTAACTTGCCTGAAAATTACGGCCATTTATAAGTCATTTTTTCTTCAAATGAGTACCCAATGTTCTGAACAACATTTTTTTTTTAAAGTAGCCTCCATTGCTCAATGTGGAGCTTGAACTCAAAACCCTGAGATCAAAAGTCACATGGTCTACCGACTAAGCCAGCCAGGCACCCCACAACATTTAGTTTTAAAATGCCTTAGGGGCACCTGGGTGGCTCAGTATAGTTAAACAGCAGACTTTTTTTTTTTTTTTTTTTTTTTAGTATTTTATTTATTTATTCCTGAGAGACACAGAGAGAGAGAGGCTGAGACACAGGCAGAGGGAGAAGCAGGTTCCCAGCAGGGAGCCCTGTGTGGGACTTCATCCTGGGACCCCAGGATCACAACCTGAGCCAAAGGCAGACGCTCAACCACTGAGCCACCCAGGTGCCCCAAACATCAGACTCTTGATCTCAGCTCAGGTCTTGATCTCAGCTTAGGTCTTGAAAATAGAATATTTCTGAAAGTAGAATATTGATTTCCAGGGACTTGGGAAGGGAGAAATCGGGGAGAGTTGCTAACAGATATGAGGTTTCTTTTTGGTGTGATGAAAATATTCAATAGTTTACTGTGGTATGGATGGACAATTCTGTAAATATACCAAAAGGCACCAAATTATACAGTTTGAATTGGTGAATGATGTGGCATATGAATCATATCTCAGTAAAGGTGTTAAAAGGGGAGTCTGCCTGGTTTAGACAATAGACCATGAGGCTCTTAATCTTGCATTTGTAAGTTCAAACCCCATGTTAAATGTAGAGATTACGTAAAAATAAAATCTTTTTTTTTAAAAGATTTTATTTATTTGGGAGAGGAAAAGCACGAGTGGGGGGAGGAGTGGAGGGAAAGGAAGAAGCAGATTCCCTGCTACGCAAGAACTAGCCCCAGGGCTCAATCCCAGGACCAAAGGATCAGGACCTAAGCCAAAGGCAGACAGACACATAACCAACTGAGCTACCCAGATGCCCCTAAAAATAAATTCTTTATTTAGCTATTTTTAAAAAGATTTATTTATTCATGAGAGAGACACACACACAGAGACAGAGACATAGGCAGAGGGAGAAGCAGGTTCCCTCTCTGGAGCCTGATGTGGGACTCAATCCCAGGACCCCAGGATCACGACCTGAGCCAAAGGCAGCCACTCAACCACTGAGCCACCCAGGTGTCCCAAATAAAATATTGGGGGGAAAAGATGTTAAAATAATGCTTAGAAGAACAATTTTGGGTCAATTGACAAAATTAGAACATAGAAGGTAGATTTTTAAAAAGTACTGTATCAATATTAAGTTAACCAAAGA